TTTTGTCGTTTTTGAAGTGAATAATAATAATATACGGTAGTGATTTCACAGTAAAACAGACCTGCAGGAACGCCAGAGATACGTGACAAAAAGACACCCCCAGACCAGCCCTCCCCTCCCTCCCACCCCCCTCCCATCCCCAAAAAGATTTTGGAAGTGGGGGGGAAAAAAAAAATAAAAAGTTCATTCAAAAAAATTATTTCAAAAGAGATTTCATATAAAGCCTTTAAAACATGGTCAGAAGTTTCTCCCTCTTCTCCAGATCCCTGTGGCTGAACACTTACAGAGAGAAAGAGAGAAAAAATAGAGAGAGTTTATAACAATCTCTGTAGAAGAAACAAAACAATCCAGGAAAGAAAATATCCAAGGATATGGTAAGGGATAAAATTACATTTGTACAAAAATAGATTTTTAACTTTATTGATGCTTTAGATATTTTTTTTCCTTATCTCTTTTTTTTTTTTGTCATTCTAAATTTTTTTTTTTTTTTTTTTTTTTTTTTTTTTTTTTATTCTATGTATCCCATAGCCAAGGCATCCATCACTAAGTATTGGGAATTGCTAAAGCTATTCTTTACTCCAAACCACCTGCTTAAAAGAGAGAAAAACAAAAGAAAAGAAGAAAAAAGAAAAGAAGAAAAACAAAAGAAAAGAAGAAAAAGGAAACAAAAAGAAGAAAAACAAAACAAAAAGGCATCTTAAAATAGATGCAGTTCCTTTGTCTCGAGGAATAAAAATCCAGATTTGGCATCTGCCAATTCGGAAAGGGATTCAGATACAATGGGAGCAAAAATAAAAAGCGAGGAGAGGGAAAAAACAAAACCAAAACAAAACCAAAAAAAACAAAAAACCAGGAAAAATAAGCGACTTAAACCACAAAAAGCCAGGAAAAGTCTGTAATTGCTACAGTTCTCTAAGTGTATATGTGAGTGGGGTATTTATCATACAGTGTCGATATCTACAGCACACACACGGACACACAGACACCCCGAGCCAGCCCCTGTGGGGTCAGCACAGCCCCAGCCCTGGTTTTGGGGTCAGCACAGCCCCAGCCCCTGTGGGGTCAGCACAGCCCCAGCCCCTGTGGGGTCAGCACAGCCCCAGCCCTGGTTTTGGGGTCAGCACAGCCCCAGCCCTGGTTTTGGGGTCAGCACAGCCCCAGCCCTGGTTTTGGGGTCANGGGTCAGCACAGCCCCAGCCCTGGTTTTGGGGTCAGCACAGCCCCAGCCCTGGTTTTGGGGTCAGCACAGCCCCAGCCCTGGTTTTGGGGTCAGCCATCCTGCTTTTGGGACCTTCAACCTAGCCAGCTTTTGGGATCAGCAGCCAATCCTGTTTTTGGGATCAGCCTGCTTTTGGGGTCAGCAGCTCAATCTGCTTTTGGGACCATCAACCCAGTCTGGTTTTGGGGCTATCAACCTAGCCACCTTTTGGGATCAGCAGCCAATTCTGATTTTGAGACCAGCAGCCCATCCTGTTTTTGGGACCAGCACCCCATCCTGCTTTTGGGACCAGCAGCCCATCCTGCTTTTGGGGTCAGCCTGCTTTTGGGATCAGCAGCCCAATCTGCCTTTTGGATCACCAGCCCATCCTGTTTTTGGGATCAGCCTGCTTTTGGGACCATCAACCCATCCTGCTTTTGGGGTCAGTCTGCTTTTGGGGCCATCAACCCCCTTCTGTTTTTGGGACCAGCACCCCATCCTGCTTTTGGGACCATCAACCCATCCTGCTTTTGGGATCAGCAGCCCAATCTGTTTTTGGGGTCAGCAGCCCATCCTGCTTTTGGGGTCAGCAGCCCATCCTGCTTTTGGGGTCAGCCTGCTTTTGGGATCAGCAGCCCAATCTGCCTTTTGGATCACCAGCCCATCCTGTTTTTGGGACCATCAGCCCATCCTGTTTTTGGGGCCATCAACCCCATCCTGGTTTTGGGACCATCAACCCCATCCTGGTTTTGGGACCATCAACCCCATCCTGCTTTTGGGACCATTAGCCCATCCTGGTTTTGGGACCATCAGCCCATCCTGGTTTTGGGACCATCAGCCCACCCTGGTTTTGGGGTCAGCAGCCCAGCCCTTCCCACACCCCCTGCCCCAAAGGGCCCCAGGGGCGCTCCTGGATGGTTCCAGTGCCAAGGGAAGCTGGGCATGGCCTGGAGGGGCTTGGGGCGGGTGGGACGTGCAGCAGCTGGCTGAGAGGCTGATGTTGGTGCAATCTTTAAAAATTAAAGATTGTCCCACCAACAAGGAGGAGTTAAAATAAGCATCACAAAGCAGATTTTTGCAAGAGTACCGAGAGCTGGTGGAGTCCACATCCCAGCCTCTCTAGGGAATCCTGTGCTTTTTGTTTTCCCTCAGCCACCTCAGCTCTCCTCACTCAGCCTTATCATGATGAGGACAACAACAACAACAAATAAAAGCCCGAAGTGAAAAGAATACAAAGGAAAGACTGGAACTCATGCAAAGCTCGTTGCTTTAAGGCTGTTCCCAACACACAAAAGCTTCTCCTTCCCCCGGGAAGGGCTGGGGTGAGGATGGAGGGGCTGGGCCGGGCTTTGGGGGATCAGGGAATCCCAACTCCCTTTCACCAGCTGAGAAGTGAAATCCCCAGGACAAGGCTCAGCTTTTCCCAAAATCCTCTCCTCCACGGGCATGGATTGAGGCTGTGCTGCTCCAGCAGGGAAACTGAGGCACAGGGATGATACTGAGCTGGAACTTGGGGCCTGCAAAGCCTCCCCCTTGTCAGATGCTAATGGGAATGGGATGGGATGGGATGGGATGGGATGGGATGGGATGGGATGGGATGGGATGGGATGGGATGGGATGGGATGGGATGGGATGGGATGGGGAGGAGGTTTGGATGGAAATGGGATGAGAAGGTTTGAGATGGGATAAGGAGATTGGGATGGGATGGGATGGGGACAGATGGGAGGAAAGGGGATGGAAGATGATGGAACGTGACAGAATGGAAAGGGATGGGATGGAATAGGATGGGACAGGACAGGATGGGGCGAGATGAGAAGATTTGGGATGGGATGGGACAGGATCTCCCACCGTGCCACCCTGCAGCCACCACAGCACCCAAGAGCCTCTCCCCAGCCCTCCCCCAGGAAAAAGCAGCTCCACCCACCAGAGACCAGCAGGTTTATCCCAGTGCAACATCCACCAACTTCCCCAAAACCTTTCCTCGTGCCAAGCAAGTGCCAGGCTCCTTTCTGCCAGGGCCTGGGGGCTGCCCAGGGGCTGGGTGGGCTCGGGGCTCTGCCACCTCCCTGCACCCCGCCGGGGCTGCGCCAGCCTCCCGCTGGCAGGGAACAGCCTGCTCGTGTTTGCTGGCACCCTCGCCAGATTTCATTCCTCCTGCCTCGTTTTCTTGGCAAATTCTTGCAGGGTGAAGCTGTTTAATAATATTTTCAGTGGCTTGCAGGCTGCTGGGGAAACAGAGCCAAGGCGCTCTGCCTGCCTCTGCCGATTCGCCACGTCGGGCCAGCCCCAGGGGGAGCTGCCACCTGAAATCCTGAGTGGGTTTTGAATTTTGGAGCTGCAGGGGATGGAGCTGGGCACTGCAGCTGCCAGCTGGGACCACAACAGGCAGGGGGCAACGGTGTCCCCTCCAAAACAGAGCTGGGAGTGAGGTGGTGGGTGCTGCTCCATCCCCTCCAGGAACAAAGGAGGAGTTTTCAACCAGCTGCAAACCATGGGGAGCAACAAGAGGATCTTGGGGACCCTCATCCTCTGCTTTTTAAAGCACAGAGAATGTGGAAATGCTGGGGAAGTCCTTGGCCACAGGCACCTCCTTCTCAGGGGAAAACCCTTCCCAAAATCCCTCATCATTCCCTCTGCTTTGTTTTTTCTCCAACTCGTGGAGACACCTGATGAGGAGGAGGTGAAGGGGGGAGATCTCTCCCTCGCTGACCTCTGGCCACACACTCCCAGGGGAATCCCATCCCGTGGGGTTGGGGGGACACATTCCTGTCCCCAAAACCCTGCCCAGCTCCCCACTGTCACACCAAGACTCAAGGAAAGGGTTGTGCAAAAGCCAAGGTGCTTTCGGTGCTCTCAGAATCCCGGAGAGGACACGGAGGATGGTGCTGCCACATCCCCCACGGGGGAGATCCAGGGCAGGGGGAGCCCTGTTCTTGCTTCACCACTAATTAACAGCTGCAATTAAGCAGCATGGCCGAACACTCCCACTAAACTGTTGCCTTGCAGTGTTTTGCAGGGCTGAAAGAACAGGAGCAGCCTCCTGGGTGAGCCAAAACCCTGAAACACTGGAGTGGGGTCACAGCAGGATGCTGGGGCAGCACTGGGGTGACACTGGGATGAACTGGGGTGGCACTGGGATGAACTGGGGCAGCACTGGGATGAACTGGGATGCCTGCTGAGGGCAGCAAGCCCCCAGGAGCTGGGGAAGGGCCACGGGGAGTCCCTGGCAGCCTTAAAGCAAGCGTTGCAGCTGGCTCACTCCGCACCTCTGGGGAGAGCAGCGATGCCCTGGCACCCTCCGGGGTGGCCAAAGGGCATTCCCTGCACCAGGGCTGTGTTTTGGGATTCAGCTCAATCCCAAATCCTCAGGAAGAGGAAGGAGAAAGCTCTGTGCAGCCACGGGTGACTCATTCAGGGGGCACCGCCTCTCCCTCCGCAAAGTAACTACCGAGACTACTAAGAATAGTTAAAAACCAAAAATAGAATTTTTTTTTCTTTTTTTTTTCTTTTTTTTTTTTTTTTTTGTCTTCTTCTTCTCTTTTTTCCAAAAACTCCATCCTCTGAAAATAGCCCAGCTGCAATCTGGCAGAGTCCAACCACTCCCCCTCAGGCTCGTCCAAACCCCACTGCCCCGAGGGGCTGGCACCGTCCTTGTCCCCAGGGGAGTTGGGGAGGGGGTTGGTGACACCAGCCCGTGGTGGCTCATCCCAAACCTCATGGCACGGCGAGGGGGTTGGCAAAGCTCTCTCCGCTCCCACTTCTCTACGGGCAGCACGGGGAAGCAGCGAGCAGGTCTGGAGACGCAGCAGTGACAGCGAACGGACAGGGGGGCGGGCGACGAGGGGCCGGGGGTCCCCCGGAGCAGACGAGGGACACGGGCTGGGGGGCCGAGGAAAGCAGAAAAAAGGGCCCCGAGGGAGCCCGGCCGGGCGAGGGACTGACCCAGCAGAGGTCTCTAAGTCATTTGGTGCGGCGCTTCCAGCATCTCCATCAAGAAGGTGTCGATGGGCGTGTCGCCTATTAGCTTGAAGAAGAAGAGGTGCTCCAGGCATTTGAGGCCGATGGATCGCAGGGCTGGGAGGCGGAGCAGGAGCTTGGCAAACCTGGGGGAAAGGAGACACGGCACGGTCAGGCATCCCCAAGCACAGCCTTGCTTCTGTCCCGGTCCCCTCCTCAAGTTTGGAGTCGGAGTTCTTGCTGCCAAATGATGGGGATGCACCCAGAGCTGTGCGGGGAAATGTCAGGAATTCTGGCCCAGCCTCGGGGAGATTCACAACAAACACGTGCTGGGAACGGAGCTGAGATATGAAACAAGAAAGGAAAGGACAGCTCTGAAGCAGAGGGGCACCCCAAGGTGCTCCTGGGGTCCCTGCACTGCAGCCATCCAGAGGAGGCACCCCGGGATCAGCCTTGGCACTGGCAGCGCTGCAAGCAGCATCAGCAGCTCAAGTTTTGGTCAGGGAAATGGGCTGGAGGAGATGCCCAGTGGGGTGAGCTGGCACCTGGCTGGGTGATGCCCCTTTTCCTGCAGGCTCTGGCACTCCTGAGCAGCCCCAGCAGCCCTCACTGGGCTTGGAGCATCCCCAGCTGAGCCCTGGGGCTGCTGGCCAGGCAGGGTGACACCAGGGGCCCAGCCAGGGCTGAGGATCCTTGTATGCAACCATTCAGAGGAGGCACCCCGGGATCAGCCTTGGCACTGGCAGTGCTGCAAGCAACATCAGCAGCTCGGGTTTTGGTCAGGGAAAAGGGCAAAAAGCTGGGAAGGGGCTGGAGGAGATGTCCAGGGGGGTGAGCTGGCACTTGGCTGGGTGATGCCCCTTTTCCTGCAGGCTCTGGGCACTCCTGAGCAGCCCCAGCAGGTGCTCCCCTTTTCCCAGGAGCAGAACCAGGGGTTCTCCCCTTTTCCCAGGGCTCTGAGGAGGGCAAACAAAACCAAAAAACCCTTTCCCCACACCCTGCCCTGCCTGGAGCAGATGGTTTCAGGTCACAGCAGGGCTGGGGAGAGCTGGCAGCAGTGAGCCATCCTCAGCAGGGAAAAGCTGCTGGGTGTGGGGCTCAGAGGGTGACAAGAAACTCTGGGGCCAGGAGAAAGCCACCAGCTCCTGCAAGAGAGCTTTGGAGCACCCCAGGTGCCACTGGATGTCACCTCCTTGTGTGAGTGCTCCCAGGCCAGGGAAAAAGCCCTTTAATGGCCACAGCAGAGCCATCAGCTTTTCCTGCTGCAAAATCAGGGCTTGAACAGCAGCAAAGGGCCAGGGAGAATGGGACCTTGCAGAAAACACACACGGAGACATGCACAAGCTCACAGATATTCTATATGCATGCACAGTTCCCTCTCCCTATTTTTTTTTTTTTTTTTTTTTTTTTTTTTTTTTCTGCTGAGCTGGCGAGAACGGTGGGAGCAGAGCCAGGAAAAACAAATCAGTCCTACCATCCCATTCAGGAAGTTTCACTTTAAACCAAACCAGATGATGGCTCCAGCCCTGGGATATGTTTAACTGTGAGATAACCAGCCCAGAGCACAACGTGCCAGGGCAGGGAGGGGAGAGAAGAGCCCTGATTCCTGATTCCCTGAGGCTGCTGGGTGTCACGTAGGCAACCCAGCCCCCCCTGGGGCAGGGGGAGCAGAGCTGGGTTTTTCCTGGAAATGCCTCTCTGTGCAGAAAATTTCCCTTTTGGTGTTTACAGGGTGCTCCCAAGCTGCTGCTGGGTGGGGATTTGGGGCACCTGCAAAAGTGGGGATTCCAGAAATCCCACAGCACGGAGCAGGGGAAGGTCCCAGACGTGGCTCAACCACAGAGAGAACTTGTTTGCAGCCCCAGGAAGATGCCCAGAGTTTCAGAGAACTTTGGGGAGCTCTTGTGCAAGCCCAGCCCATGGGTTCATCCTCTTGAGGCACCTCCTGGGATGGTGCCACCACTGAGGGATGCAGGGCACAGGCACAGCGCTCAGGACATCCCTGAACCCCTCAGGTCTGCACCAAGGATGGGTGTGAACACCACACAAGAAAGTTCCCAGCCCAAGGTCACTCCAAGGCAGTGAGAGATTAAATTGCAGAGCCCCTGGTGCAGCTTCTGGGCTGCACACACTCCCTGTGAGCACTGAGGCAGAGCCCTGGGGAGCTGCTGGCTCAGTGGCTGTGCTGCCAGGCGTGGTGGCTTGGTGGGGGTTTGGGGAGTGGGGCTGTCCCTGTGCCACCCCCTGTGTGTGCCAGGGCTGCAGATCCTGCACAGTGTGCAAAGCAAGAGCTCGCCCCAGCGAGGGAATCATCCAGAAGAGCTGCTGGCCATGATTCCCAAGGCAGCTCTCCTGGTGCCAGAACAGCTCTTCTGCAACACCACAACTGCCAAAGTCCAGGGTCTGGCTCTGGGTTTGCTCCAGAAATGCAATTTAATGAAGCTTTCTGGAAGAGGAGAAGTGACAGCCCTGCTCCTTGCCCTGTGCTCATCCCTCCACCCCCCAGCTCACCACAAACCAAGCACACCCCATGGCACCCTCATCCCCACTCTGCCTGCCTCAAACCAACCAGCAATCCCTTCACAACACACCTTTCTTCATCTGCCAGCACTCTGGCACCCAAAACGGGGGGAAAACCAACTCCAGCATCACTTCTGAGGGAGGGCATGCTCTGCCCACTGCTCTCACTGCTGTGAAAGCATCCTTTTCATTTAACCATCCACACGGGGCTAGGAATGCAGGTGAGATGCAAATCCCTGGGCTGTTTTTCCCCAACTTTCATGCACCAGTAGCAGCTTCCAGTGCTTTGCTTGCTTTCTCAAGAAGCTGTCAGGAACTGAACTGGCAGTTGCCAGCTCCAGGCTGTAACTGGGAAAATGCGCCCACTCAGCTCCAGAGCTGTCCAGGAACACATTCCTAATCCCCCCTCCCATTCCCAGCTGGATTGGGGGAGGCAGGGAGGGGAGAAAAAGAGCATCAATTGAGGCTTTCACTTCCCAGCAATGATGCTCATCTGCCACTGAAAATTAACTCCATGTGAGTCCTATTTTTGCTGCGGTTTCGCTGGCCGTGGTTTCCAAAAGGGAAATGATACCCCCTTCCCTTCCCTTCCCACATGTGCTCATCCCACTGCTGGGGCTGGGGGAGCTGGGGGTGGCTCCTCAGCTCTGCCCACCTTGCTGGATTTCCTGGCAAGGGAATAAAGAGCTCTGTGCACTGCACGGGGGAGGATTTTTAGGGATGCTGGCAGCTGGGGTGGGTAGAAATGAGGGGTTTGTCCATAAGGGAATCGCTGGGAACAGAGAGCCCAGAGCAGAGAGGGGACCCTGGGGGCTGCAGCACCCATTGCGGGGGGTTTGCAGGGGGGGAAGGTGCAAGAGGAGGGGCACAGGGAGCTCACCTGCCGGGCTGGTCGGGGTATTTGTGTTTGCAGTAAGCCTCTAGTGATGCATACACCTTCTCCCGCAGTGCCTCCACCTCTGCTGGGTTCGACAGCCCCTTGGAGTCTGAAAGGCAACCCAAAAACCATCAGCCAAACACAGGAAGCCCTCTGTGCACTCCCCTCCATCTCTTCCAGACCCACCAAAGCGTGGCTGCAGGCTCAGAGCTCCAGGGATTTGGGGAGCACTCAAGAGGTTTACCCCACAATTACAGATTTTTCCTCAACCTCACACCCCAGCCCCAAATGTTTTGGCTCATTCCAGTGGTCCCAGACCCTCATTTCAAAGGGTTTTATTCCCCCTCCAGCACTGTGGTGGGGCTGAAGGAGAAGCCCCTGCTCTGGCACAGCCCCCGGGACAGGACACAGCGAGGATCTGTTTTTAGCAGGGTGAAAGGGACAGTGCAGAAATCGATATCCCCAAGCACATGTGCCACGGGAACCTCTCCACATTCCCCTTCTTTGACCATATACAGCTAATCCCAAATTACAGACAATAAATTACTGCTGATTACAAGGAGGTGGGGGGGCGCGACTAAAAAAAAACCACCAAACTGGTCAAGAAGAAAAACAAACCCAAAAAAAATGTAATAAACACTGCTGGAACAGCCTGGCCTGGCTTTGGTGGGAAAATCCAGGCAAGGAGCTGTGCTTGGGCACAAACTGTGCTCTGGGAGGGCAGGGTGGTGCTGGATGGGGAGGTTTGTCCTTGGCTGCCATCTGGCTCTGCTCTGATCCGCTCTGAAATGCAGAGATCCCCCCAGAGAGCTGTGCAGGTATGTGCAGGCTTGGCTCCTGCTGCACAGGGATTTGCTCCCTGGATTGTTGGAGAAAAACCCTGGCACTGAAATTTCTTCTTCCCTTGGGCAGCTGGGGCTGAGACGGAAAAGGGAACAGCATGACCAGAGTCTGTGGAACTGTGGTCAAAAATGGAGGGTTTGGTGTATTTTATGAGCACATTTCATGTCTTTCAGCCTCTCCAGGTCTGCAAAGGGCTTTTCCTGAAATGCAGGTAATAAAAGCCCATGGATGGCGAGGTTGGGAAGCAGAGACAATTATCTCCATGCTCTGGTGTTGCTCTAATCCATATTTTTCTCTTCAACAACATCCAGATCCCACTTTGTTCCAATTCAGGGACAATTCCCTCAAGCACCTGAACTTTCTTTTCACAGTCACTCTGAAAGGGGGAGATCTGACAGGACAGGGATGGCTGGAAATTGAACAAGAGTAGGCTTAGACTGGATTTTGGGAAGAAATCCTTCCCTGTGAGGATGCTTCAACCCTGGCAGCAGGGTGCCCAGAGAAGCTGTGGCTGTCCCTGGATCCCTGGAAATGTCCAAGGCCAGGCTGGACGGGGCTTGGAGCAACCTGGGACAGTGCAAAATCCCTGCCTATGGCAGGAGCTTTGGAACAAGATGAACTTTAAGATCCTTCCCAAACCAAACCAACTTTCACCCCTGCCTCCCTTCCTGCCCTATGGCATCTGGGTGCCCTCTGCTATTTCCAATAAAAAATATAAAAAGCAGGGGCTTTTTGGGGGAAGAAAAGGAGCCAAAAAGGACGGAAGAGCAGGCAAGAGGGGCCAGGAGAGCAGAGCCAGGCACGGACCGGGGTTGAAGAGGACGATGGCTCGCAGGCAGCCCAGCTCTGTCTTGTCCATCAGCATGTCCCTCATTTTGGACACCAGTTCTGTCAGTACTCTGCAAAAGGACAGAGAAAGCACAGAGTCAGCATGAAAGGAAATAAAACAAAAGGGAATGAAAAGCCCCAGGTGTCAGAGGCAGAGAGAGAAGCTCCGGTCACGTTTAACGAACTCGGGGATGGTGCTGGCCTAGACCAGCTGAGGATGTGGCCTCATTTTCCTCCTCCATCAAAAATAGCTCATTAGGAACATCAATAGTTCCTGTGAGATACAACAGGGACCATAAAAACCGCCTTCATCCATTCACCGAGAGGCTCTGGCACCTGAGAAAGCTGCCTAAAAATAAAAAATAACAATAAAAACCCACCCCAACAGGTATCTAAAAGTAATTTCCTCTGCCGGTAATTTTTATTGCTCCCTTTGCTCTTACTGAAGGTGTCGGTCTTGAAGTATTTTCCACTGATTGCCCAGTTTTTCATGTTAGATCCTGCAGCAAAGTCATGATCTTGCACTTATGACCTCACAGGAACAAATGATGTCACCCAGGTCCGAAGAACAATTTCCTCACCGAGCAGAGCAGCAAAGGTGATTTGGTTTCAACTCAAGATGAGTCTCAGGGAGAGAAATCAACATTTCAGCAGCGTCTGGAGTCATGCTGTGGGTCAAAAACCCTGCAAGTCTGGCTTTAAAACACTTTCCCAAAGGCTGGGATTAAAGAGCCCTCAGGACACGCCTGTGGAACCTGCTGAGCATCACCAGGGCCTTCTCATTGTGCAAATTGTTGGAATCTGAGGTATTGATGATTCCCAGATTGTAAAAGTCTCTGTCTGTCAGCCCCGCTGCCAAAGCAGAAGCCATAATTGGTCTGTGCTGGTTTCCAGGTTGTTTATTCTGTTTATCTCTCACATGTTCTGCTGCCCTGCCCAGCTCTGTCCTGCAGGGCAGCGTGTGGGGTTCTGCCCTCAGTGGGATGTGACAAACATTAAATACCAGAAACTCCCTGGGCTGCATTTACAAGAACGTGCCAATATCTGTCACCTACNGACAAACATTAAATACCAGAAACTCCCTGGGCTGGATTTACAAGAACGTGCCAATATCTGTCACCTACGTTGGACAGTGTGTCCCCAGCCTGAACCAACAGAAAAATGCCAACACCACAGTGAGACATGGAGGGCATGAAGAAGGAGAAAAAGGACAAGGCACACCCAATTTCCTCCATCTTGTCCCCTTTGGACCCCTCATCTAGAATCCTAAAATTTTACTTTTGCACCTGTGCCACACTTAATTATTACTGATATCAAACACTCAGAGCTTGTAATTCATGCTGTAAGATTGAAAACTCTTTTCCATGGACAGAGATCACAGCCAGTGTCTCTGGGGGCTCTGTCCAAGGGGGTTCCTGACCCCTGCCAGGGTCCCAGGGCAGCCAGAGGGAAGCCCTGGATTCCCACAGCAAATCAAATCACGGCTTGGTCCAATTAAAGATGAAAAGGAACAAAGGAGTGGCCTCCTCGTAACGTTAGAAGGCATCTGGAGCCCATGAAAGGGGCTTTGATTTGCACTGGGCAGCCTCCTCCCTGTTTGGGGCCGTTGGTTTGTCGGTAGGTTTGAGAGGAGGGGTTTTTTCATGGGATGGACCCCCCCAGCAGGGAGGGAGGCAGTTTGGGGTGCAGCCAGGGCTGGGGGTGTCCGGGCACGGTGGTGGACAGGAGCCCAGCCCTCCATCCCTGCCCACCTGTCGAAGATGGCCCCGACGCCGGCGCTGTGGGCGCTGTTCCGGTGCACGTGCAGCCCCGTGGCCAGCAGGATCCCGTCCTTCACGGCTATGGAGCGGTGGGAGAAGGAGGCAATTAGGAGCTCGTTCCACCCTGGGGAGGAGAAAACCAGCGAGGCTGCAGGTTAGGGCCATGGGATCCTCGGGGGGTTTGGGATTCGGTGAGGTCGCCTGTCTAACAGCAGGAGGAAAGCGCCTTTGGTGCAGGAACGTGGCTGGATGTGGGAAGGGAAGGGAAGGGGGAGCCAGCTTTTTCTTGGATGTCAGGGAAGGAAAAAAACCATCAGGAACCCAGTGCACTAAAAATAAAGCTAATAAGGGGAGCAGTTTCCTCTATAAACCGTGCAGACACTGAGCAAACAGCTCTGCCTGAAGCTCCCAGTGGGTGTGGAGCCCCCTCTGCCCTCAGCCTCCCAGCAGCTCCAGCCCTATCAGCACTTGCTATCAGCTCATCAGGCTCCTCCTCAGGCCACAGAAGTTCACCAGCCCTGAGCCCTGAAAAAAGCACCACGAAATCTCTGGCTTTATTTGTGGGTTTGCTGCTCCTGCCATGAAAGCACTGGGAGGGATTGGGGCTGTTCTCTGCACAGTCCCACGTCTGTGACTGCTTCCACAGCTGCTTGGAAAACAGGTTTTAGTCTTATCAGCTGGACAGGCTGCTTTGGGATGTGGGAATGACATCCTCTGAGCCCAGACCGACAGGGAAGGAAAGGGAGATGTGACCTCCACACCTTGCAGCTCCCCTTCCCAATCCAACACCTCTTCAGTTCCTAAATCCATCACAGGCTGAGCTCCAAAATTCCTGAAACAAAGCTCCAACAAGATGAAATGCTGGCAAGCTTGAAGGGTGGAAATCTGAGTGACTTCCAGCCAGGAGCAGCATCTTCACTAAGACAAGAGGGGGTCTTCGGCAACACCCTTGGCCTGAACATGTTCTGGAGTCCTGGTCCAGAAACCTCAGGATATTTGGATTTAGGTTTTTGGTTTGTTTTTTTTTTTTTTTCCAGGCTGGAAAAGCAACACAACAATATCCCTCACCTCTCCTGTCACAAGAGCACATCTCACTGCCTGGAATAAACACAAGGCCCATGTGTGCTGTATTTACCTTCTGCTGCAGCCCTGGGCTGTGCCATCAGAAATGTTGACAAGGAATAAAGTTCACTCTTTCCTAAGTGGCCACAGGATGTTTCCACCCCAGCCACGGGAACATTTCTTTGGCTATTTACTGGGTGAGGCCTGGCACTTTCACAGGGATTGCGACACTGTGAAACCTGAGGGGGATGGAGGAGAAGGAGCCTGCAGAAAAACCCTGCTCCCAGGAGGAAGAGGAACTCCCAGGAGGCAGATCCATGGGAATTTGTCACACAGCCCCACAGAAGCTCCTGGAACCAGAGCTGGCTTTCCACACCCACTCCAAACTGGGCTTATTCCAGTGCAGGAGTGCTGGATTCATCAGCATCCTTCCTCTGGATTATTCCCACGTAGAGCTGGGATGTTTCAGCTGAAAAGGGGAAAATTTTCCTACCTTGGCTTTCACCAGAGTATCCCCAAAGAGCTGCCAAGACAGAGGCAGGCAGGAAAAACTCACTATAACCACAGGCAGCAAATTGGAATTAGAGAGCAACCAAGTCTCCCCTGAGAGTTCTGCATTTCAGCCCAAGCTCTGGAGTGGCAGAGCAGAATTCTGTGACTCCTTTCTCACCTAACAGGGTGGCTGCAGCCTCCAGGGCTGCTCTGGCTCCTCTGGCATGGGGAAGGCACTCTGGCAGAGCAGTGCCCATCCTGTCAATCCACCTCCCTGCCAAGTTTCCCCACCAGCCCTACAAAGCCAGCTGCAGCTGCAGGGATGTAACGCTCAGCATCCTTTGCCAGGCTGGGAAAACATCAGGTTATTCCTGTCTCAGCTTGGAAACAAGAGAACCAGTGGAAAACACGCCTAAAAAGTCAGGTTTCCTTCCCTTCCAAACAGCTCAGAGAGGGAGTGTTTTTAAATGATTCAGGATTTAAGCAGAGCTGCTGCCAGCCCATCCAGCACTGCTCCTCCAGAGCTGTGTGCTCCACTTGTTTTGCCTCCCAGGATGCCTGACTGAGGCTCTTAGCTGGATTTTAGTGCTTCAATATTTCATGGGCAGCTGTTCTCAGCAGGCCACTCAATAATACATCCAGCTACTGGTTAGAAGACCTGGGGAAGGTTATCTGAGGCTCTGGCAGAGCTGTCTGGAGCATAAAGCTCCAGGGAGCTGCTCAGCAGTCTCAGGGGTTGAGCCACCACGAAATTTGGGATGTGATGGGGCTGGCAGCCCCTCTCCTGCTGTGTGGAGTGAGTCACAAACAGAGAACACAGGTCAGGAGTTCTCCAGCTCCACTTTTAATCAGCTGCTTGCTAAAGAGAGAGGAAAATCTGAACTGCCATGGTGGGTTTGGGTTCCAATTCCCAAGAGCTTTGTCTGAGTTCAGCTCTTTGCAGAAAGCCCTCAAAGATCCCAGGGAAGCAGAGAAGCTTCCCTGCTCATCCCCTCTCACAAGAGGCTCCAGAAATCCTCTTCAAATCCACACTTGGGATGTTCCACAGGGCCCAGAGCCAGCTCTGCCAAAATCCATGGAGCTTGGTGACACCTTCACCTACGGGCTGCAGGACCTGAACAAAAGTGAATTTGGGGGAAATAAAAGGAACTTTAAAAGTACCAAGGACTTCAAAGTCCCTGGCTTACAAAGAACTCCATGTCTCCAACACATCCTTCCCGAGCTCTGCTCCTGGTTTCTTGCCCTCCACAAGCTTTGTACAGCAGCAGGAGCTTGAATCCACTCGACAGGGTGAATTCCTACAGCCAACTGCTTCCACCTCCCAAATCCTGCTCCTGCAGCCCCCCTCCTGCACAAGGAAATTTAAAATAAGCCCTGAGAGTTCTATTTTCATCTTGGTGGGTGGGAGAAGAAGTGAGATGTACTTTTCTCTCCTTTCTGGTTTTAATTATGATCAAACATTTCAGTTTGACGAAATTTCACGGGGGCTTGAGCCTGCTTGGTCTTTCAAGGCTCAATTTGGGAGGAAGGCAGAGTTTAACTCCTTTGGTTTAAGTCACCCAGCACCCATCTCTGAGTTCCTCATGGACCAGAGATGAAGCTGGGCCATTTTGGATCCAATTCACCAACACATCCCATGGAAGGCTTTCAAAATCCTACTTAAAAACCAAATGATCAGAGCCTATCAAGAATCAATCAAAGATTTTCAAGCTGCCAGGACCTAAATCTGAGGGTCCAGCCCGTCCCAGGGGACATTCAGCACTGCCCACGTGGGGACAGATGTCACTCACCTGCTCTGAGCAAGATGACCTGGTCATCCAGGGGCAGCTCGGAGAAGTGGGGGATCCTCTTGGCCCACTCCACCAGGGTGAAGAGCTGTTTGTCTGCTGCCTGGCAGATGTTTGTCACCGGGTCATTGGGCTGCCAAAAAAAATAAAATAAAGATGGAAATGCTTGGAAAAGGCAAAGTGAGGAAAAGAGAGGCTGGAGGAGCAGCCTGCCTGCCATCCCCGAGGTGGGTGCTGTCACCCACAGGCACTGGAAGTGATTTGGCTGCTCCACCACAAGGGTTGTAATAGTTTTTAGCAAGCCCCAACATGGGGATTGGGAGTGCTGAGACTTCATATCCATCACCCTGACTGATGAATCCAAGCAGCTCCAGCCTGGGGAAGGGCAAACTCCAGCATCTCTCAGCTTCATAAACCAGCACCAGAGGGGGCATTACAGAAAGAAAAGAGAAAACCCCTTTCCTTTGAAATATTATCCAGTAACAAAAACCATCTGCTCTCAAGGAGGACAGTCAGCCTAAACACAGCAAATCCCTGTTTAAAGGAACTGCTCCCAGCTCAAGTGGATTTGTGATTAGGAACTGGAAGAGCCTGTTTAACCCTGGGGAAGGCTGAGCTCGCTGATCCACGTGTGTCTGTAGGGTTTACCTCTCTGGACAGGGATCTATGAACCCTTCCCATCTCCCACTGTAATCCCTGCTGATATCCAGCAGCTTGCATTGTACAATTAGCTTCTCTCCATGCCCTTAAATGAGCAGTTTCCAAACTGCAGAAGTGTTTTCCTCAGCCCTGGCTCGCAGGGGGAAGGGCAGACACCAGTGTCCAGGCTGGGCAGGGCAGGACCACATCACCAAGTCACCCCTCAGAGCCCTGCCCAGCACCCTGGCAGCAAACCCAACAGCTCTGTGCCTCGGTGGCCAACATCTCCCATCCTCCAGGATTAAAATAGCCAGGATTTGGCAAGCTCGGGGCACCTGCCTTGGAAGTATTTCCACCTGTCGCGTGCAGAGATGGATGGGCACAGGCTGGCACAGGGATGTGCCCCCCTCGTCCCACCCCACTCCAGCAGCTCCCCCAGGGCATTCTCACTGCCAGGGAGCTGGGGCTCTTCCCTGAGGAGGGAGAGGTGAGAAGAGCCTGGGTTTTTCCTGGGAGAAGGAGATACGATGGGATTTCCCCGGGACAAGGGGAAAAGCCAGAAGTGCCTGGGAGGAGGAGCTTTGCAGGGTTCAGGGTTTCACTGGGAATGTTGGTATTCAGAGGCAGGAAGGGAGAGAAGGGACACCAGAGGTGTCATCCCTGACTGCTCGGCCAGCTGGAGAATCCTGGCATCCAGGTGAGGTGGGATGGGGATCGTGGACTGTGCTCCAGCAGAACACAACCCTTCCAGCAACAAGTGACTGCAGAGCCCCACAGAAGGGATAATTTAGGTAAATTAGATGTTTTTGCCAAGGCTTTCATCAGGGCAGGCTCCAGGTGCCCCAGCCCTGGCTGTCCCTCCGTGGGCAGCACAAGCTGTCCCCAAACTCTGGTGCTCCAAAGCTTCATCCTCGGCTTCAGTTCCACCTCAGATGGCAATTCCTGGAACCACCACGGCTCTTCCTGGCAGAACCTGATCACTGGAGCCTGAGAAGCAGCTAAAAGTGTCCAGAGGGCCCTGCCTGGCTCCAGGAGGGGAATGGCAGTGCTGGAAAGCCTCCCTGTGCACAGAAAGCAAATCCCCTCCTGCAGCAAATAGCAAGGGCACGGTGCCGGGGTGTGACAGAGCCAAAGGGCACCTGATCCTCCTGGAAAACTGCAGCTTGGAGGCACCTTCCAGAAAATGGTGACTTGAAACCAGGCCTTCAAAGGCCAGTTAAAACCTAATGGGGAGGAGAGCTCTCAGTTACAGGCTTTGCCTTCTGGCCAGGAGCCCATCCCAGGCCGTGCTTGCAGGGCAGGAGCCCAAATTCCCAAGGCATGGGGCAGAGGCAAAGCCACCCCCTGGGACAGGGACGTGGCACAAGGGGACAGCCACAGACACGAGAGCAGGACAAGGGGGAATGGATCTGAACTAAAAGAGAGTGGGGTTAGAGCAGATATTAGGGAAAAATTCTTCCCTGGGAGGGTGGGGAGGCCCTGGCACAGCGTGTCCAGAGAAGCTGTGGCTGCTCCATCCCTGAAGGAGTTAAAGGCCAGGCTGGATGCAGCCTGGAGAAGCTGGGAGAGTGGAAGGTGCTTTTAAGATGATTTTAAGGTTTTAAGATGATTTTAAGGTCCATTCTAACCCATTCTGTGTGGGAGACAAGGGTGCTAATCCCTAAATCACCCTGCCATCCCCATCCCAGCCTGGCACAGCCAGCTGGAAATGTCCCTGCAGGTGACCAGCCTGAGGTGCAGAGGCAGAAATCAAAGCACCCAACACACGAGGCCAACAGCAAACAGCTCATGTTCTCCCTGTGTTTATCAGGGCCTCGATTTGTCTGCCTTTCCATCACCTGGGCTCTGGGGAAGGGCAGCAGCTCCTCTGTCTTCCCTCTCCTCATCCCGTGGTGGCCTCGTCACCGGGAGCTGCTGATCTCATCCATCTGCTAAACCTGCTACAAATGTCACCTCGTGCTTGACAATAATAGGGCATTGCAACAAGCCTCCTGCTTCTATTTAGATGCAGCACACATCCTTGCTCGCAGAAATGCGTGTTGAATTATGCAGGAACCGGCTTTCAATTTGAGGAGCCGCGGTGCCAGACGAAGCCATTTATTTCAGCTCCCTCTCTGGGGTTTGTTTTCAAGTCAGCACAAGGCTGGTTCCAGCTCCCCCTGAAGGATTTTAGATCCTGAGAGCAGTCAGAGCCTCTCTGAGCTCCTCACTAATAACTCCTCCAAAAAAAAAAGCTCTTTAGTGGGGATGGGATCCTCCTTGTAAATGCAGGTGAAGGTTTCCACCTGATTCTCTGCCTGATCCTGGAGAGTTTCACTGAGGGATTGGCTCTGTCCATAACATGAAGCCTTGAATATACAAAAGCCAACTAAGGAATGCTAGAAAAAGCTGTCTTGCAAAAAGAGCATCCCCAAAAAGCCAATTAGACATGTCCTGACTGCCAGATTCCTCACAGAATTCTGCTGGAAGTGACCCTAAAGATGCTCTATTTCCAACCCCCTGCCATGGGGAAGGGATTTCTCACTCAAACCCTCCAAGCCTCATATAAAGAGATAAAAGTATTGTTGGAACAGAGAATAAACACTGCAGAGTCCCTGCACTTGCTCAGAATAGCTGCATTTCATCAGCTCAGCCACCCAGCAGGAATTGCACAGGGATATTTCAGTGCATAAACCTTCTCTCTGGGCTCAGCCAGCCCAAGTGTTGGCAGAGTTCAACCTCTGAGTCCCTCGAAGGACTTTGTGGCCACCAGCAGAGGCTCCCCACTGCAGCCTCAGCTGCTGTTTCCCAGAGGAATTTCTCTGTTCCCACTGCTTTCATGGGAAAAGGGGCTATGGAGGAGTGGGGACTGCCCCCTAAACACTGCCTGGGCTGCAGAGGGTCTGTCCTGGAAATGGAATTTCAGAGGAGGGTTTGGCCCTCACATTAGGAGGCTGCTGCTTTGCAGGGAGATTTCTCCATTTCGATAAGGGATTATCATAGGAAAGGGCCCCTTTCCCTTCCCCTCACTCTCCATAGAATCCCAGACTGGTCTGGGTTGGAAGGGACCTCAAGATCATCTCATTGCAGCCCCCTGCCATGGGCAGGGACACCTTCCACCAGCCCAGGCTGCTCCTGTCCCATCTCCCTGTCCCACAACATCCTGGTCCAGCCCAGATACCCCAAGCAGGCTGGGTTATAATGCCAGTTTCTAACTGGGAAAAGAACTTGAAAGCCAACTCATAGGCAAATTTCTCTAGCTTTTCACTCCTCAGAGCCAAGCAGTGCATAATTCTGCACCTGAGAAGTCACACCTTCATTCTCCAGCTCTTATCTCTCTGCACTTCAGCCACACAGGTCTGTTTATTGCCTGGACTGGACTCTGAGCTCTTCAGAGCAGAGTGCCTTCCTGCCTTTTAGTACTGAGGGCTGTAATTTCCAATAAAACCTTCTCTGCGAGCCCTTTTAATTACTCCTTACCACCTCCCACTTCCCTGTGGCTGTGGGACAGCAGACACCCAACGTTGCTGGCTCTGCTCTCCTGCTGCTGAGCTGACTCACAGAGCCTACAGCAGAGCCAAGAATTGCATTTTTTTTTTTTTTTTGTTTTCCCCACACAGGACAACCCCTGTCTGTCCTCATGGCCACTCCTGATGTCCCAAAGGCTCAGTGCCTCACCGAGCTGGGGGTCAGGCCCATGTTTGCCTCGATGTAGGTCTCTGTCTTTGGCTCCACGGCGAGCTCAGCCTCCAGGATCTTCTCCACGGGCATGTCCTCGTTGGCGCTGCTCGTGGACTCCACCTCGTTCTCGTTGCGGTCCTTCCCCCGCTGCCTCTCCTCCTGCACGGCTGCGAGGGACACACAGGGACAGTGGCAGAGTGTGACAGATGAACAGTGGGGACAGTGGCAGAGTGTGACAGATCAACAGCGTGACTGTCATAGGTAAGTGACACAGACTCTAGGTCAGAAGGCTGGAAGCCCCCAGTTTGTTGGAACCCCTTCTTTTATACACTCAGCTGGGCCTGAATGGTCATTTAATCAACACATTTCACATGACTGGCTAATTAAGGAGACACCACTCAGTAAACATGAGGAAAACAACTTATTACAAACCTCACCTGCAGATTGTTTACCATTTGTTTATCATTCTTTCTCTCTGCCTCCCTGAAACTTCCCAGAGCAATTCATAGGAAAGCTTATCTGGCTTTCTCACTCTCTGACCAGACTGTCATCTCCACAGTGTGATGGCTGACTCTCACAATTAAAAGGCAAATATGTACATATTTTAAGAGAAGTTTTATAGGTTTACAGTTATGTTTTACCCCCCTTGTGTTGTTATCAGGGGGTGGCCCGGGTTTGGGACATTTGGGAGAGCTGGCAACAGCTGACCTCCAATCAATACTGAAGGAAGTGATCTCCAGCACTGGACAGTGAAGAAGGAGCCAATGGACAGAATTTTGGAGGAGCTAAAGGGTCAAAAGGCCAAACTTCCACTGCGTGGATGAGTACATGGTGGGAAAAATCCTCTGCTCCTGGTGCCATATTTTATCTATTCAGTCTGCTGCATTTTTGATAAGGTTTTAATAAACCTTTTAAAGTTTTTGGGAGTAGTGTTTCTCACAGTGTCACCCCCAGGCCCCACCGGTGGCCACAAACCCCAAAGCATCCTGCAGGATCACCCCACTCTGATGCCTGCTCCCACTGTGGCCAGACTGGGATATCCCATGGAATGTGAGATTTGGGGAAGGCAGGGAGCAGCCTCAGCCTGGGAAATCAGCTCTGATCCCTTCTCTGCAGAGGGACAGATCCTGGAAATAAAAATAAATGATGGAAAGCAGCACAAAGGATGGACACTTCGAGTCACTGCAGGAGAGGGAACGAGGTGAAGGGACAGAATCAGGGAATCCTAAAGGAAACAGGTCAGTTTAAAGCAGAAATCCCAAGTTCAGCCACCTCTGAGGCTGGCAGTGCTGGATTTCCCTGGAGGCCACACTGTGCCCCTCTCCAGCTCCCGTGGGACAGCAGCTCCATGCAAACCTCCAAACCTCAGGGCAAGCCCCAGACAGACAGGAGAGACCTGTCCCAAATCCTGTGGGGTGGGAATGATCTAGCCAGCAGCCTGTCACATGCTGATGAATTCTCTCCCAGCAGCTCAGAGATGAGAAACACTTACTAGACGCTAACAACATTATTATTGTTATTATTAATGACCTCCCTTGGAAACCTGCACACGCTTTTCCTACACCTGGAAGGCAGCTTTGTGCAATTACAGTGGGAACTCTCTCCATCACCTTGTCACAGACCCTAAATCCCACACTTTTCTGTTTCCCACTGCACATTTTAGCCCACTCTGCTCGAGAACAGCCCAAGCATCTCTGGCCATGAGGCACAACCCTCTGAACTCACCCAGCTCTTTGCTGAGGCACTCCAGTAACGTCAGAACCCTGCTATTTATCAACAATTACCCCAGCACTGCATCTGAAGCAGGTTATGGGATGTTCAGGCAGAGCAGCAGGGGCACAGGTGTTGTTTGGGGGAAAGCAGAGCTGTCTGTGACACAACGAGGCTTTTCAGACCATCGGTGGGACCAGCTCTATGCCATGTGCAAAACGAAAACCTACAATATGAAACTCCAGGAAAATAAAATAAAATAAAGTAAAATAAAATAAAGTAAAATAAAAATAAACCCCAGGAAATTGAGACACAGGCTAAAGGAGCCCTCTCTGCCTGCTGATCCCATTAACCCAGCTCCCAGGCTCCCCCTCCCTTCCCTCAGTGTTGCTGTTTGCTACATGTCAGCAGAGCTCAGGCTCTTCCATGTGAGAGCTGTTATGCAAAAAAGCAAGAAGTTCCTTTCTGCAAACTTCTCTGGGCTGCAGAAGCTCCCCAGGCCCACCAATGTTGTCTGCTGGGCTGCCAGAGCCAGGTAAACTCAGATTTGCGTCGTGGCTTTTGTCCATCTGGTGTGGATTCTTCTTCTTATTTAAGCCATCAGAAAATCCTGCTTCAATTTCACCCCTCCAACCCCTCTCCTGCTTCTCCAAGCATCAGAAAGAGGGGAGGTTTTGCTTAATGCCAAGCCTTCCTCAGCAGCACAGATGCACCAAGATTCCTCTGGGCACATTAGAGGAGATGAAACACCTACTAAATAACACGAAAGCCTGAGAGAAAGGCAAAGCCTCCACAAATGGGATCCTATAAAAAGACTTAAATGCCAAAGGGCTGCTGGAGATTGGCAGCAGCTCTCAAGGTTGAAGGTGCAAAGTTGGGATCACTGGGGTCACTCCACCATGGTGTTAACCCCAAAAACACATCCTCGTGCTGGACTGGGAGTTGTGGCAAAGCATTGCAGAGGGCTGGGCAGACAGGGGCTACTTAAATCCTTCCATCTGCAAATCTCAACAGCATCAGTGCCACATCCCTGGCCTGAAGAGTCAGAGACACTCCAGGGGCTGTAGGACAGGATCTCACAGGGCACCTCGACAGCACCTGCCTGCGATCAGGCTGAGCCCAGCTGACACAAACAGTGCAAGAGACAGATGGGCAGGGATCAGACACGTAAGGAGTTTGTTCCATTGATCCAGAAAATCGGTGCTGCAGCTCCCTGCAGAGCTGGGCAGGGGACAGCTGACTCCTCCCAGCTCAGCCCCATGCCCAGCCCGCCCTGCAGCAGTGCCACCCCGGGCACAGCAGATGGCACAGGCCCAGCCAGCAGCCAAAGATAAAGGCAGCCCTCAGCAGGGAGTGTTACCTGCTCTGCTACACCTGCTGCCAAGCCAGGCAGCCTCCTCCAACAACAGGACAAGTGTGGGATCATTTCACCCTTGCCCTTGTCTGTTTGTCCATCCATCCATCATCCATCCATCATCCATCCATCATCCATCCATCATTCATCCATCCATCATTCATCCATCATCCATCCATCCATCCATCCATCCATCCATCACAGTCACATGTTTTTGGGAGAGTCCTCCACGTCCCCAATCTCTACAGGCACAAACCCAGTGGAAGATGTCTGGATTTTCCTGCTACCAGCATTACCCTGGAGCTGCTGAGGACCTGACAAGCTGTTGCTCCTTCTTAGGAGAGGTGCTGAGGGACACATCACCATTCCAGGAAATAAACAGGGACTGTGTTCCTTGAGATGTAGGGAAAAAACAACACACAGAAGAGAGGGAAAGAAAGAAGGAGAAGTGGGTTTTTTTACCCATGAAATCTGGGAAAATCTCCAGCAGTGAGCAGACCCCTCATCATGCAGACCATTCCTGGAGTCCACTCCCCACTCCACTGGGGATTAGTCAAATAACCACAGTGGAGATTACAAAAATACATTTTTTCATATGATCTGGTTTGGGAACTGTGTTTCTTTGTGGGTTTAGTTTTTATTTATGTTTTTTAAGAAGAGAAACACCAAGGTGGCAGCTGCATGGCACCTTGTCTGGTGACACCAAAACAGGAACAACCTTGCTCTTCTCAGCTTGCCAACAACACTGATTTTCCAGGTCCTGAGCGTGGCAGAGCTTTGGATGGACAGCATGGGTCTATCCACCTCAAATGCAGGAGCTGAGGCAGGAATTTGGCTTGCTGCATCCCAGAAAACCCTCTCGTGCAAGGCACAGCTCTCCCAAGCTGTGTCTCCAGAGCTGAGCTTCCCAGCCCTCTCCCCTTTCCTGATGGCTGTGCCAATGCTTTTATTTCTTTTTAGAGCTTTTCCAGGCTGGTTTCCTAAGCAGACGGGAAGCATTTGAACCTTGCAATCCACTTGAGGAGAAAAAAAGATGCAGTCAGAGAGCTTGGAGAGGCAGCCCCACCTCCTGCAGCTATGTCTGAGCCCAGCCAAGGACAGAAGCCTGTGTTTTCCATGGCACCTGATGAAGAGCCTCTCCTGTTATTCTGCCTGATTTGGTCTGTACTTGCCTCAGGCCAGTTGCTGTCATGTTTCATCTTGAGCTTCTCCAGCCCATCTGCACTTCCCCAGGCCATGGTACAGCAAGACACGGAGCCCCATGTGTCCAAGCCACTCCTTGGTGACCTCTGGTGTCTTTAAAATCCAAAATGTCTCGTCCTGTGGATTGCAGATGAGCCTCAGCTATCCAAGCCCGAGGGCTGATGTGCCAAAGTGCCAGATCCATCCTCTGCAGGTGTCCACATCTCACTGGACACCCTCGGCTTTGCTCATGGGACAGCATCTGATGGCTAAAAAAGCAGGTTTGAGTCCATTGCAAAGTGCCACCCAGCCCAGTTCTGGTGCCCAAACCAACCCCTGTGGGTGGCCACGTTCTGGGCACTGCACTTCTGCACCAAAGGAATGTCAGTGGAGGGAGGGAGAGGCCCAAAGGAAGATTTTCCACAGGGCAATGGTGTTTCTGAGAGGGCAGGAGCAGCACAAGTTTGTTTATTTGCTGGGAGAGACCTGGAGGCTACAGCAGCTCCAGTGACACTCACCCAGTGTCAACACAGAGCTTTTTGGGATGGAAATCCATCCCTCCAGGAGCAACAGGGTGGGGGTTGTTCTTTCCATGGGGAAAGGATATATCACTCCCCCAAAAATGGGATTTTCTCAGGGAAACTGAGAGCACAGGGGAAAAGCACCGAAGCTCAGCCCAGAGAGCCCCAAACCTGCACAGTTTTAGTTTTCCCCCATCCTGCAGGTGGGTGGCTGGTTATTTATGAGGTGCTGGGTGGGGGTTATTAGGAATTTCCATTTCTCTCACACGGGAATTTACTGGGCTCTGCTGCCTTTCATGTAGCAACATCTTTGCTGTGTAGCATCAGCATCTTGAAGCGTTTATGCCCCAGGTACCTGTTTATATCCAAAATGCCAAGACAGCTGAGAAAACAAATTCAGACAGTGTTTCTTCTGCTTTGCTTTCGTGTGTCACCTTTTTTTTTTTTTCTTTTTCAGAGGTGCAGCTTTCTGCTACTGTAAACAACCTCAAAAGCTACGACACATGAAATAAAATGGTTTGTTTTTTTTTTTTCCCTCCAACATTTTCAATTGAACGCTGTAATTTTTTTAAGGGATGCAAAATACCACAGTGATAATTAAAAAGTGTAACTTCAGAGTGTTAAAAAGTGGATTGAAATCTTAGCATGCAGTTAGTTCACAGAGGAACATCTCTGGAAAACAACAGCAAAAAATCTCTAGCTCACTTCACTCTCTGGACACTGAAGTATAAACAAACAGCAACAACAGGAGAGAAAACCGTAAGCCAAAACCATTTTCTCAACCTAAGAGCATTTTTAAAAACAAAAAAAAAACCCAAACCCAGTATAATTTAACCAGCTGGTTTAAAGAGCAGCACTTTAAAAGGATATAAGAAACAAGCTCATTAAGCTGGAAGACATTTTCCATTCCAAAATTAATCCTAAAAATAACTGTGCTCTTGAACTCTGCCCCTTCACTAGGCTGTGGCCACTTGCCTGCTTTCACATTCACTTGGACAGTGGGTTGGAAGCCTGAATTCCTGCTTTCCCCCCAGATTCCTCGTGCCCCTGAGGGATGGTCCAGGAGCTGGGATGGCCCAAACTCCAGAGGAATGTACAGCCATGGCAGGGGATCAGGCACAAATCCATGTGGGAATCTTCAGTCCCTCTGGATTGAGCAGCTCCCTGGAGACGTGGGAAGGTCTTTGGGCTGTGGGGATGTTGCAAATCCAACCTTTCCCAAGCTGAGCCCCTCAGCTTGGCAAGTGAGAGGGGAAAACCAACCCACAAACATGGGAAGAGGGAGAATTAACTCAGGCTGTGAAGCTGAATGAAGCCCTGAAGTCAGAGACCAGGCGTGCAGCTGGACAGATGTCCTGGATGCTCCGAGCACGGCTCTGGAGCTCAGCACAGCAGCTGTACCTGCACCTGGATTTAGGAACAACTCTGGGATCAGGCACGCAGCCTGAGCTGCAGGTGCTGCAGGGGAGCAGCTCTCTGCTCTCCAGATGGGCTCTGAGATGCACCAAGAGCCAACTTCACCCATGTGGCACCAAAGCCCAGCTGCAGGCTGGCACGTGGGAGCCCTGCAGGTCCTGCAGAGCCAGCCTGGCTCTCCCCAGGAGCTCCCCTTGGCTGGGGGAAGGCTCTGGGAGCCTCTTCCCAACCCTGCTCCCTGTGAGTGAGGCGGCCACGGGAGCATGGGAAAGGCTCCTCGCTGGTATTTCCTGCTCCCTGTGCGATCCCGAGGCACTGCCAGCGCTCCTCACCCGGGACAGCCCCGGCTCCCCACGCCCACGCCAACCCTGTCACCTCTGCTGGCACCCCTGCCACACTGCACCCCCATCCCAAGCCCCCCACCCCTTCACAAGAGCTTTGCCTCCCTGATTCCGAGGCAGTTCCCACTTTTTCCCTTTTGAACCCAAGGCTGCTGGTGCACAGACACCTCAGACCCAACACATCGAGCAGGGAGAGTTCAGCTCCTGGATGCAAACAGCCACCCCCACAATAACAACCTCTGCATTACTCAAGATCCCTGATGGTAATCTTAATTTTGTTGACTATCCGGTATTTAGTGGGAGACAGAGTACAAAAAAACCAAAGCCTTACACAGCTGGCAGAAATTCATAGAGGGAAAAAAAAAATGCTCCCAGTTGATTATTTATTATGGCTGCAGCGTCTCAGAGAGCGTGGGGCTCACTCACTGTGCATGCTGGGATCTCTCTGACGTGTTTCTAACAGGGAACAGCCAGAAGAGATGCACACAGCAGGAGGAATCCTCTGCTCCTGCAGGCTTTCCCCTCTTTAAGCCAAGGTTTGTAGCACTGAAGGATCCCTGTCCCCCAGCAGGGCCACCCTGGGTGCGCTGCTGCTTCTGCTCTGGCTGGACACGGGGTCCAATCCTCTGGCATATTCACCTGGAGCCCCTCAGCTGCTGGGATCCAACCTCCATCAGGCTGATTTTGCTTCTCTAATCCAGCTTCTCGCCCAATAACCCCTTTCCTTTTACCCTGTTTAAATGGAGTACAGCCTTGGCTCTCACTCCTCCTCCCAGCATCACCCAGCATTGCTCCCCACCCCAGCCCTGCCTCTCACTCAGTTCCAGCACTCACTTTAGAGGCTTTCACTGTGCTTCCAGCAAATCCCAGCACCTCTGGCCTGCAGGAGAGGTACTTCCCAGCAGGAATCTGCTGTGCCTTTACACAGATATAAATTAGGCCTCCAGAGCAAGATGTTTTTTAGGGAAGTGAGGCCCATAACCCGAGCTCTGTTACTTAAAAGATACAAGGGTTTACGCTACAGGATGAAAAGCCAGCTATGATGTGAATACTTAGGCAAAAGGAATTAGAAATGTAGGATTTAGCCCAAAACTCTTCCCTAAAATAGAGATGGGAACAGGAGAGGACAGTTCCAATCAGCTGGGATGGGTGCAATGGGAAGAGACTCTTTTTTTAACAAACCAGGTGGATACCACATGTGAAACTCAAGAGCTGCTCAAAACCAGATCTCAGCAAGATCCAACTTCTGACTTTCAGCTTTAGGACAACTGAGACATTTCTGTGAGACACTGAATTTTTAGGTTTATAAGAAGAGACAGGGGAGTTATTCCAGCTTTCCCTATATGGGGATTATGCCTAAATCATCTCATGATGACTGTCACATCACCAGTTGCTGCCCTCACCAGATCCATCAGCACTGCCTGAGTGCACTCCTGGAGTTAACAGGATCCCATCTGTCACACTTTTAAATAATTGTCTGATCATTATGAATTCATTTGCTATTCATTGTGATAATGTTAATCAAGATGAATTAATAGAGTCCTCACACTGTACGTGCTCCCTGGGGACTTCCACCACCATTTAGAAATTAATTAATGGACCTGTAATTTTTAGCGGTGCTGCCCATGCAATCACCACTAAGGGCAGGCACGGAGCAGGTACCTGATGACAGGGTGGCAGAGTTCCAGCATTCCTGCTGCTCTTCCCAGCCCTACACACCTTGTTCTGAGGGGCTGAAAGGTAACTGGGTCTCCAGCTGCCAGTGGAAGGCTCTGGATGCAGTGCCAGAGGAAGGGGATGCTCTGTATTTCTCCTGCAGAACACACAGGAGAATTCTTGGCTTCTTCCTGCTCATCTGAGTCTCCCATGTGTGGCAAGCATATTTCTTTCCCTCTCAGGATTTTTCATAGAGCAGCACAGAGAGAAATGAAAGAGCAAGCAATTTCTATTTCTGCTCCTTATTTTTCCTATGTGGAATGTGTTTGGAGAATTGTTTACCTGGGGTGATCGCTTGGTTGAATTCTGGTGAGGATTGATTGAGCCCGATAGCCAGTCCAACCCACCTGGGGCTGGGCTCTCAGAGAGGGTCACGAGTTGTGTTAGAGTCAGAGAAAGTAGTATGTAGTTTTAGTATCCTCCTTTTATATAGCATATTAATGTATTTTAGCACAGTTATAATAAAGAAATAATTCAGCCTTCTGAATTGAGTCAGACACTGTAATTTCTTCCCATTGGGTTCGCCTGCATTTACAATACCCATGGCTCAGGTTTTGGATCAGATTTTCCTCATCCCACTGCACATCTTCCATGGAATCCAGTATTCCCCACTGCTCTGCAGCCACAGCAATGCCCTGAATGCTTCAATCTCTCCATTTCATGGTCTGCTGGGGCAGGAACATTTGTTTTGAGCACTGAAGGGTTAAGCTCAGCATTGCCAATGAGGTCCCCTGGGTGCCCTGGCAATTCCCCCACACCTCCAGCACAGACAGCTTGGTGACACTTGCTGACTTTGGTCCTTAGGTAACCCCATAAACCGAGCGTGGCAGGGTTTGCCCAACACTCAGAGCAGCTCCAGCACTGCCCCGTTTATCCAACGCCCCAGACAGGCCTAAGTGCTCTTCAAAGGCTCCCAGGCTGGAGCTGTGGGCCAGGGCCAGAGCAGGGCTGGCTTTATCAGCCTGTCAGGGAGGCAAGTGTGGCTCTGAAGATGTAAGGGGGGGAAGCAGCACAGAGCTGGGGTCACTCTCACGTCATGTCTGCTAAAAGCCTGCCCTGCCAGCTAGATTAGAACAGACACACTCAGCATTTAAAAAGATCATTGAAAAGAGGCACTGCCGGGGAAGTTTAGATCCTAAATTTAAATTCCACTAGGGGAAGAGCTATCTTAAAGAGACCGAATTGCTTTCTGCTTCCCAATAGGAAGAAAAACGCAGCACTGGATGAAGTGCTGAGGCCCTGGCACAGGATGCTCAGAGCAGCTCATCCCTGGAAGTGTCCAAAGCCAGGCTGGAGTGGAAAAAAACCCCTACCCATCACCTGCACACTGCTGTGACCCTCAGTGCTGCTCCACAGCGGGTGACACTGTGAACAACCACACTCTGGGGCCACAAGATGCCCCGGCTGAGGCGCAAAACTAAAGCGCAAACGCGATTTTTGTCAGCGCTGTGACGGCAGCCCTTGGCAAGGCTGGCACTGATCCTTGGTGCCCACCGAGCTCCCTGCAGCGCCCTGGCCGGGCCAGGCCTTACCTTCTCTCTTCATGCCCATGGCCAGACACTTCTGGTAGCGGCAGTACTGGCAGCGGTTGCGCTGGCGCTTGTCGATCAGGCAGTCCTTGTTGTCCCGGCACGTGTAGGTCAGGTCCTTCCGCACCGTGCGCTTGAAGAAGCCTTTGCAGCCCTCACAGCTGTAAACCCCGTAATGTTTACCTGGGGGAGGGATAAAAACTCGAGTTTAAAGGCGGCACCAGCTCATTTCTTTGCCGGCAGATCTTCCCAGGCTGAGTTTGGGGGGAGCAGAGGTTTCTCGGAGATGGAGAGCAGTGGTTTGGCTTCCACTGAATCAGGATGCCATCCATGGGTCACATCCTGCCTTCCATCCAGGGAAAGGCCATTTCTGGGCCACACAGAAGTGGAACAGGGTACCCTCTGTACCCCTGTGAGCTCTCTGAAGCACCCCCAGCAGACACACAACCGTGTTCCCACCCTCCACTTCCAGCCTGGATCACAGGAGGGGTCCCAAAGGGCTCACACACCAGGCAACCAGAGCTCTTCTAGAGCAGGGAGCTTTCCAGGAGAATAAAGGGAAATAGCAGGTCTTTATCTCCCAGGAGTGGAGAAACTCCATGTCAAGAGCATCTTTTCATATGGGAGCACCAGTGCAGACCAAAGGATGGGGAGAGGGAGGAGACCCACTGCTGAACAGGGACCTGGGGTCTCCTGGCCCTGCTCTTCATCTCCTGCAGTGAGGCACAGGCAGGTCCTGTCCCAAAGGAGAGCTCCTGCTGGCACTCCCCGTGCTGCCAGGAGCCAGGGAGCCAATGCCAATTCTGCCATACCCCCAGTCCGCTGCCCTGAGCCCCTCCCGGGGCAGGTGCCAGCCTCACCCGAAGATCTGTCCCCGCAGATGGCACATATGTGCTTGGTGAAGGAGGCCATCGTTCCTGAGGGGTGTGCTGGCACTTTGAGGACTCCATTGAGCCCCAGGGGTGGCTTGATGTCTTCTGTGCTGGTGACGGAGTTCATGGGCGAGTTGAGCTGTGGAGGGACAAGCACAGGGCTCAGCTGGGACTGGGGACACGGGGACATGGGGCTGTGTCACTCACACGCAGGACAGGGCAGGACAAGCATGGGACAAGCTCCCAGTGGGGACCAGCACTGCTAAACCAAGAGGATTTGGGCACAGGAGCCCTCAGCCCAAAGGCACAGCACCCATCTGGCCTGGCACAGGAGCTGGGGTGACACAAGGGGCAGGACAAGGCCAGCCTCCCAAGCACTGTGCAGGGCTGACCCTGCCCATGCAAGCAGGATGTTTTTCCATTATTTAATTGGAAAGCAAGTTCCTCCTGCAGTGCCCCAGCACAGCCTCCACAGGCAGGGCTCAGCAGCCAGCCCAGCTTCACACCAGCAGGGGACACAGGCAAGAAGATCTGCAGTGGTGGCTGGTGGGAGAGCTGCTGGCTGGGAGAGAGCCCTTGCATGGATGATGAAGGCCAGGACACTCTTGTTTAACTCTGTAATTTATAGATATCCCTTCAGCATTATCTCTCCAAAGGAAAGCTCCATGGCAAATAAACACATCCCAGGGCCTGGATTCCAGAGCTGGAGTGGGTGGGACATGCCCCTGCAACTCCCAGATGTCTCTCCTTCCTTCCCTTGGCCCACAACAGGCAGAGAATTGGGTGGAAGTGGCACTGGCACCATGGCACTGCTGTGGAGTGAAGGGTTCCTGGGCTGAATCCCCCACTGGGCTGTTACACACACATGTGCAAAGAGAAACTGAGGCACAGAGCTGTAGGATTGACCCATCTCGGTAAGGGGGCAAGCTCACCCCATCCAGGAGGATGTGGGGGACCTGGGCTTGGCCAGCTGGCTGGGATCACTGGGGGTGTCCCCAAGGGAATCAGCCTGCCAGGGAGTGTCCCAGAGCCACCATCCCAGCCACCCTCGAAGCCCAGCATGGATTCACAGGCCCGAGGCTCAGTTTGCTGCCTTTCTCTACTCTAAGAGAGATCCTCAGCAATTGCACTTGGCACAAATTAACTCAGGAAGTCCCAGGGCTCGTGATCTGTCAATGAGAGCGGCACAGCCACTCCTCTGCCTTTCAAGCCTCCAGGCTGGTGGGGAATATTTGGCAGGCAGATGCCTGGCAGCCACACAAGAGAGCCAGGTAAACCCACCCTGGAGAAACGGGATGGATGTGCCTCCCTCTGCCACCCTGCCCGTGCCAGCTGATGAATCAAAGGCAGCTGGGAGCTGGTGCCACCCAGGGATGCACTCCTGGCTTTAGCTGCTGTTTGACAGAGCAGAGAGGGGAGGGAGGAGCAGGCCCCAGGCAGGAGCATCTCTTTTTGAGTGCTCCATGATCCCTGTGCTCCCCTGGGAGCAGGGGTTGCCAGGTCAGGGTGACCTGCCCCAGGAATTCCTCCCAGAGCCCTTTCTGGGAAGTGGAGCCAGCTCCCAGGTGCAGCTGGTGCTGAGGGCTCCTGTCACACCATCCTGGCTGTGGGAGCGAGCCCAGAGACTGCCATGGCTGCCTGATGAAGATAAAACCCTTCAGCACCACTTCCCCCAGCCCCGGCAGCCCAGAGAGCCCACCCAAGCAGCCCCCCAAAAACACTGGGGGGATGATGGGCAGAGCAAGACCCACCCAGGAGGGTGGGGGTCCCACCAGCCTCCTCAGCCTGGAGAATCAGCTGCTCAGAGCTGAGTCAGCCCCTGGCTGGGGAGGGAAAGTTCCTCTCCCAGCACTGGCCCCAAACCTCAGCAGAGCCACCCTGGGGTTCCCACACCGCCCTGGCGCCTGCCCGGGAGCACGTGCAGGACAGAGGAGGGGACAGCAGCCCTCGGCTTTGGCACAGCATTTCTGCTCTGGGACAGCAGGGCTCCAGCTCAGCAGTGAGCCCAGACAGGGGAGGAACCAGGGCTCTGCTTCCCCAGAGACACCAGCACTTCCCAGCTCCTTCCCTTCCCTCTCAGCTCCTTCCCCTCCCGCTCCAGCTCATCGCACCCAGCACTGAATCCTGGCCCTTCTGGCAAGCAGAGCTTTATTCCTCCTCCTCCCATCCCAAAAAACACCCCAGCCCTTCCCCTGTCCCCCAGGCACCCTTACAAAGAGCATTGTGCAAAGGCAGACGCTCTGGAAAAGCCTAATCCCATGTCTGATCTCTCCCTGCTGGCCCCCGGGCATCCCGAGCTGCTGCCAGCGATGCCTGGGGCGGCTGCTCCACACAGCCCCGCACATGGCATGGAAAGTCCTTCCCTCGCAGCTCCTGCTGAAAATCCTGACTCTTTTCCCTGTTTTCCCGTCATTTTTAGGTAAGAGGTTTTAAGCAAAGTGTTAAATCCCAGAGCTGAGGGGTCTAACCTCCACCAGTCTGGCCACTGCAAGCTGGCCTCGTTCCTGGGCCAGCTCAGAACCAGCATTTCCCTCCCATGGATGCTGGCATCCTGTGGCAGGATCCCTGATTTTGGGGCTGTGCTGGCAAACCCTGCCAGATCCTGGGATACTCCCAGTGCTGGAGGGAGGGCGCTGGGAGCATCACCCAGCACTGTCACCAAGGGCTGCAGACTCCCTCTCCCCTCTGCAGAACCAGGTGGGGTGGGGTGAGCCCCCCGTTTTTTGGGAGCCTGGCAGCTCCTTCCCACCGGGACCCACCCTGGGGACCTGGTGCAGCGCGTGCCCTTCTGCTCTGCTGCCTCTCCGAGGTGACGAGGCGTGGCCTGATGGCAAGTGGCATCTGCCATCTGATGCAAAGCACCTTCCATCAGTGCCAGCCCTGCCCGGCGACGGGGGCACACGCCTCATTACCCTGCGCTCCGCCGGCCGGGCCAGGGGGGCTGCGCTCCCCACCCGGCATCGGCCTCGCTGCCCCCTCCTCCTCCTCCTCTTCCTCCTGCACTCTGCTGGCCCAGGTAGGCGTCTCTGCCCACTGCAGGGACACAGACAGAGACCTAATGTGGCCAGACAGGGAACAGATGGCAGGAGCCATTAGGCTGAGGACCTCCCGAGTGTCACCTTGAGGAAAAACACTTCAGACAAGTCCCTGAACAAAGGATGGGTGCTCCAGGGCTGGAGCCAAGGGCTGGAGCCACCAGAGCTGGAGACACCTGGGCTGGAGCCACCAAGAGCTGGAGACACCTGGGGGCTGGAGCCACCAGGGTTGGAGCTACCAGGGTTGGAGTCACCAAGAGCTGGAGCCACAAGGACTGGAGCCATCAGGCTAGAGCCACCTAGGCTGGGAGCCACCAGGGCTGGAGCCATTAGATTTGGAGTCAACAGGGGCTGGAGCCATCAAGGTTGGAACCACCAGGGCTGGAGCCACCAAGAGCTGGAGCCACCAGGGTTGGAGCCACCAGGGTTGGAGCCACCAAGAGCTGGAGCCACAAGGACTGGAACCACCAGGCTAGAGCCACCTGGGCTGAAGCCACCAGAGTTGGAGTCAACAAGGGCTGGTGCCATCAAGGCTGTAGCCACCAGGGCTGGAGACACCAGAGCTGGAGCCATCAAGGTTGGAGCCACCAGGGTTGGAGCCACCAGGGCTGGAGCCAGCTCGCTCCCAGCACCATCCCAGCACACTCTCACTTCCCCTTCTGCCCTGCAGCTCTGCTTCGTTTCGGTTCCCCCGCTGGCCGCTCCCAAACTGCACCTTACAGTCGCCCCCTCCCCACCATCTCCCCGGCTTGTGGCTCTCCCCAGGGTTGCCTCACATCCCCCTTCTCACTCCTTCCCCACCATTCTGGCGCTGGGGCTGCTGATTTCGCTCTGGCTGCCCGTTCCCAGGCATGGTTTCAGTTCCTCTTCCCCTCCCCTGGGGTGGGAGGGAGGGACGTGTCCACTCTGCTGCTGGCCCTCAGTGGGAAGCAGGTCCCTGCACATCTGAGGGGGTCACAGGCTGAACCCTGCATGGGAGAAGCTCATCCAGAGGCAAATCTCATTCCTCTCTGAGCAGCACAGGGATGCTGGATCCTGTGGAAGCTGTCTGCAGTCAGCACAGCCCCACATAGTAAAAAAGCCCTGGGAATAAATCAGGCCAATATTTAAAAATAAAGGTGCTGGCAGGTGCTTGAGTCCCAGAGAGGGCCTGGAATAAATAAACCTGCAGCGAGTGGCAGGTGGTGGCCAATTCCTTAATCTGCCCTTTTACTAAACATATCCCGTGCGAGCAGCCAGCAACAGGTGGCAGGGGCTGGCCAGCACCCCGATCTGGCTATTTTTAAAAAGAGCTTATCTCACCCTGCTTGGAGGGGTTTTTACATAATCTTCAGCCACTGAAGGCCAGTTCTTGCCCTGTGAGGAGAAAGGGGCAGAGGGCAGAGGAGTCCTGGGTTTGTACAAGTGACAGGATAAGGGGAAACAGCCTTGAGTTGTGCCAGCAGAGGTTGAGATTGGTTGTGTGGGGTAATTTCTTCTTGGAAAGGTTTGTCAGGGAAGTGGTGCAATCACCACCCCTGGAAGCGTTTAAGGTGTGTGGGTGTGGCACTTGGGAACACGGGTTTGTGGCAGATTTGGATGATCTTAGAGGGTTTTTCCAACCAGAATAACTCCATGGTTCTGTGGGGTACATGGGCTGGCCCTGGAGGGGATGTGCTGCTTCCCAGGAAGGACAAGAATCCCAGACAGTCCTAGGGTGGCTCTGGCTCTTGCCACAGCTACCCCAGCCCCCAGGTGACCAAGGTCACTACTCCCCTTCCACCCCAATCCTGCGGACAAGAGGTAATGGACAGCTGTGCTCCAGCTGTGCTGGTCTCTCACAGCCCACCCAGAGCAGCCCCAAAAAGGAGCAGGATGCCTCCAGCTTAGTGCTTCTCCTTTTTGCCTCCCCTTGGCGCCTGTCTGGATGAGGAACCCCCAGCGGTGGCTGCTCCTTGCCCACAGAGGCAGCACTGACCCGTCCCCTTACCTGTGGGCTGCTGGTGCCGAATCCCAGGCTGGGCGTGGAGGGGACAGACATCGAGTGTGGGCCCATGGGGGAGCTGATGACGGAGAACGGGGGGCCCATGCCATTGATGGGCGAGCTCAGGGTGCTGATGGGCGAGTGCAGCTGGCCCGGCGAGCCCAGCGAGGAGCCGATGCCCGGCCCGATGGACGGGTGCAAGGACGGGGTGGCCATGGGCCCCCGGCTCGTGGGGGAGTTCAGGGATGTGGAATTCACTTGGTTGGAGAAATCTGCAAGAGAAGGAAGACAGGAAAGGGGTTGAGTCACCCATGTGGGATGGGACACAGCTCTGAGCTGCAGCCCCCTGCTCCTCCCCCAAAATTCCCAGTGCAGCTCCATCTTCCCAAACCACCTTCTTCTGGAGTTTCCACTGAGGCATTTCCACCTCAAGCCAGGTATCAGTGCCCTCCTCCACCTCGCTGGCACAGCTCTAAGCTCTGCCAGGAGCTCGGCATCACTGCTCCAGCTGATTCCCTCCTGCTACAGGATAATTTGGATTTGTCACCGGGCCAGGCCGTGCGTGGGGAACAGTGAGAGCAGCACCCAGCCCCTGTGGAGGTGGCTCGGTCTGTGCACCACACACGCCAGGTGTGTGTCCATCCACAGGGAATGCTGCGTGTTCAGAGGTTGGATTTGAGGATTTTGGAGCTCTTTTCCAACCCGAATGACTCGGTGATTGTGGAACACTCTGGGGCTGGCTGTGCTCTGCAGGCAGCAGGACAGGCTGTGTCTGCCTGTCCCAGGGGAGCAGAGCAGGGGGGGCGGGAAGGGGGGCTTATAAATAGACTCCAGCTCTCCCAAGAGGAGACATGGAGCCATTCCTGGCACGTTTCCTCCTCATCCTGTCACGCTGCTTGCAAAACAATCCCCAGCGAGGAAGGGGCTGGCTCCAGCCCCCAGGGAGGGGCAGGAGGAAGGCGGCGGGGAAGGAGGGGTGCAGCTCGGGCAGGGCTCCCCCCAAAACCCACCCGGACCCCCCAGCTCACAGCAGGGCTATCCAGAGGCACACCAGCACGGCCACCTGGGTGTTCATGGTGGCTCTGCCTTTGGCTGCAGACCCCAAAGTGAAGTAAAGTCTGGAAAATTCTGTTTTCAGTCGCCTGCATCCCTCAGGATCAGCTGTGTCCCCAGGATTTTGGCGCAATTGGCACAGGAATGTCACCCAGTGGGACACACAGCAGCCCAGCCTCAGCAACCTTCCCTGGAGATCCCTGAGCCTGGTGGGGAAACCCCAGCAGGAGGAGGAGAAGGTTCAGCAAGGCAGTGATGCTGCTCTCACAAAGATGTGGAACCAGCATCCCACTGCTACATCCAGAGTCCCATTACTGTCTCCAGAATCCCACTGTTGCCCCCAAATCCCACTGCTGCCCTCAGAATCCCACTGCTGCCCCCCAAATCCCACTGCTGCCCACAGAATTCCATCACTGCCTCCAGAATCCAACTGCCCCCCTCAGAATCCCATTGATGCCCTCAGAATCCCATTGTTGCCCTCAGAATCTCACTGCCCCCCTCAGAATCTCACTGCCCCCCTCAGAATCCCATTGATGCCCTCAGAATCCCACTGCCCCCCTCAGAATCCCATTGATACCCTCAGAATCCCATTGCTGCCCTCAGAATCCCATTGTTGCCCTCAGAATTCCACTGCTACCCCCCGAATCCCATTGATGCCCTCAGAATCCCAGCGCCCCCCTCAGAATCCCATTGATGCCCTCAGAATCCCATTGCTGCCCTCAGAATCCCATTGTTGCCCTCAGAATTCCACTGCTACCCCCTGAATCCCATTCATGCCCTCAGAATCCCACTGCTGCCCCCAGAATGCCATCACTGCCTGCAGAGTCCTTCTGCTGCCCACTGCTGCCCTCAATCTCCCCAGTCTCCCCAGTCTCCCCAGTATCCCCAGTCTCCCCAGTATCCCCAGTCTCCCCAGTCTCCTGTCTCCCCAGTCTCCCCAGTCTCCCCAGTCTCCCCAGTATCCCCAGTCTCCCCAGTCTCCCCAGTCTCCCCAGTATCCCCAGTCTCCCCAGTCTCCCCAGTATCCCCAGTCTCCCGTCTCCCCAGTCTCCCCAGTCTCCCCAATCTCCCCAGTCTCCCACCTGTGACCCCACAGCCCGGGCAGAGCAGCAGCCCCATCCCGGGGCCGGGCTCTCACGGGATGCTGGCACACACCAAGCGTGGCCACTGCGTCCCCCGAGCCTGAGAGAGGCACACCAGGAGCCCCAGGAAATTCCCAGAGGGTGCCGGAGCTGGGTTTGGGGTTTGGAAAGGGCTGGGAGAGCAGCAGGGCCCTGCAGAGCCCCCAGGACCCCACAAACCCCATGGCGGAGGGACACCTCCCAAGGAGGCAGCAATAGAAACAGGCCCTTGGCCTGTGCAAAGGGAAGGCAGCAGAGCAAAATCCTTCCTTAGGAAAGATCCGGAATGTTTCAGGCAGGAGAGGTCACAGGAGGGTCACTGGCAACCGGCCCAAGCAAAGCACGTGCGGGGCTGGTGCCTCTCCCAAAATCCCAATTCCTGGGCACCTCATGAGTTCCAAGCAATGTGAGGCCAGCATCTCTCCCAAAATCCCAATTCCTGAGCACCTCAGGAGCTCCAAGCACTGTGGGGCCAGCTCCTCTCCCAAAATCCCAATTCCTGGGAGCTCAGGAGTTCCAAGGACGTGCGGGGCTGGTGCTTCTCCCCAAATCCCAATTCCTGGGCACCTCACAAGTTCCAAGCAATGTGGGGCCAGCATCTCTCCCAAAATCCCAATTCCTGGGCAGCTCAGGAGCTCCAAGCAGTGTGGGGCTGATGCCTCTCCCAAAATCCCAATTCCTGGGCACCTCAGAAGCTCGAAGCAGTGCATGGCTGATGCCTCTCCCAAAATCCCAATTCCTGGGTACCTCAGAAGCTCCAAGCACGTGTGGAGCCAGCGCCTCTCCCAAAATCCCAATTCCTGGCAGCTCAGGAGCTCCCTGCACATCCCATGTCACCACATCAGCTCTCACATTAATGTGATCCCCAGCACCCCGCAAGGAACTGTGAGGGAAAACCAGAAAAGGGAGGAGAGGGGTAATGGTGTGGGAATGGAGATGTGGGTAGACACGGCCACATTTGGGGTGTTTACACCCAAACCCCTCAACCACACACTGGGAAAGCTGAACCACACCAGAACTTCTGCAGAACATCAGGACTCAAAAGTTCCAAGCAATTTCTTGGACACTGGGAGGTTTCCACTCCTCATCCAAACACTCCCAGCTCCAAAACCCCGCCAGGAGAGCAGCAGCAATGGGAAACATTTATATCCAGCAAGCAAATATGGTTTTTTAAACTCAGCAAAATCAACAGTCCACTTGAGGCAACTCAGCCCAGATGCTGCCAGTCCCTGGCTGGAGGGAATTGGAGTTTGGGGAAAATATAAATTGAGGTGGAGAGATGGGCATCAGGAGTGGGATATGAGGAGTCTGCCCTCTTCCCCATCACAAGTATCCTAAAGGACCTTGACTGCAAAAAGAATGCTACAAAAAAGATAAAAAAGCCTAGACTGAGGAAATATCCTTAATAGACACAAATAAATTTCCAAATTGATGAGAACCACTTGGACTGCAGCAAACAGAAGAGGCATTTCCCCAAAGGCATTTTCAGCTCAAACATTGTGAGACTGCTCCTTCTCCTTGTGGAGCTCTGCCATTTAAAGCTGCTCTGTGTGACTATCTCTTGACCAAAATAAACTCTGTGCCTGCTTCTAAATTAAAAGAAAAAATAGAAAAAAAAAAAAGTTCTGAAAGCATTTCCCCTCTGTCACACCCCTCAAGTGCAGCTATTTTCTGTGTGTGTCCTTTGTTTCAGCACAACAACCTCTGTCTCTCCCCAAAGATGCCCCATGGCAGTTGGGAGATCAGAAACCAGAGCTCGTCAGCAGCTGGAGAATTTGCAGTGGAGCTCTTTTTCTTCTTCCAAACTACGAGCCTGCCAGCCACGGAGTTTGGAGGGGAGTTTTTTTCCCAAGGAATATGACATTTAGGGCAGGGCCACATGATCCATGTGCGAGGGATGGCTGCAAGGAGCCCTGGGAGTGTTCCCACACCAGGCATCATCCCCTGGACACCAGACCCAGCACAGGAGTTTTGTGTTTCTGCTGCTCATCCCTTTCCCTCAGCAGATCCCTGACTTTGCAAGATCTCTTAGGGATGAATTCCCACCTCACAGGGGTTTGCAGCAGCCCCAAAACCAGACAAAAGCTGATGCCAAAGCTGGGAACAGATCCTGGCAGTTCCAAAATCCAGGGTAGCATCTCAACTGCTGGATCACCCCTCAGACAGAACTCTTCTGGCATTATCATAATCATAATAATAATTAGAACAAGAATATTATTGATCATTTTCAATAAGGGAAAAAAAAACTCCATGAAACATGGGGGCAGCTCCACTGCTGTTTTCCATCCCTTTGGCATTCAGCACAAAGCTCCAGCTTGGACCAGCCAACGTCCACAGCTGGATGCACCCCAGATGGGCAGGTCAGACCCTCCAGGAACACCCAGAATGCCACCAGCCCTTGCCACCCTTGCCTGTGGCATTTTGTCACCCAGTGTCACTCCAAGTGCTGCTGCCTAGCCAGGGCACGTCTGCAGCAGCTGAAGCAGCTTCTGCTGATCCAGCACTATCACCAGGGCTGTGATTTTAAAATTTCTAGACCACAAAATGTTCCAGAGCAGAACAATTCCAATGTGCAGAGGCACTTTTATTCCCAGGATAGGTCATTTGTACTGGAATAAAGTGTACCAGCATAAGCTTTCACCAGAATAATCTTCATTTATGCCTAAGAGGCTTTGCCAGTAAAACTACAGTGACCTAGCTCTGCTGGAAAACCTTTTCTGGCATATCCTGGGAGTTTACTCAGCAGCTTGGTGGCTCAGAGAAAGGGGAAGTTAAAAAAAAACAAACAAACATATTTCAAGGCACAAACAGACTCCCTGAGCTGTGGTTTTCTGCAGCTGAGGAGAGGATACAACCACAGGCAGTTCACTGGCATCAGAGGGGTTTGCAGCACCCCAGGGCTCGAGGAGCTGGCACTGCAGGACCAACCCCAGAGCTGTCCCTGGCACCAGCTGAGATTTGGAAAGCCACTCACAACCCCCTGCTTCCGCTTCTGCTTCTCTTTTTTTTTTTTTCCCCTCAGCACCTCTTCCTCCTTAATCAGAAAGCGAATCAACTCTGCGTATTAAACAGGAGGAAATTCTAAATTTGGGTTGCCA